CATAGTTACCTTTCTTTAAAAAGTCAAAACATCATAAACGTTATCACATAGAACTATTCTCAGTCTTCTATCTTTATGTCTGAACTGTTAATTAGAAAGGTTACTGAAGACTTTATAATTTAATAATTGCTCAATTAGAAAATAACACCCCAGTCAAATGATAATGAAAACCAAAAAGTGATATTTTCACACCACATTCAGTAGCAAAGTAATTAAACAGCAATAACTTATATTTGAATTTATGTACAGTGAAAGATGCAGCATTGTGGAAAAATTAACAACAAAAACTATAATTGAGTAAAAATCGGGGCTGTTTGTGTACTGAGCGTTCTGCATAAAACAGCAGTCACATCATTTGAATGAGGCTGCAGGTTTCAAGGCTATCGGTCAAACAACACTATGAGTTCATGTTACATGTTAAGGCTGTGTTGACGAATTCAATTTAAGAACCGCGAAGCTTCACAAATTGAAAGTGAACACTAAGTGCTCTGTGCTAATTCCCCTGCAGCAAATTATGAGCAAAGAGACGGAACATTTGCTGTAAAATTTGATTTCTTAAGTGTTTTCTATCAGATTGTGAACACTGAAACATGTCCGCAGCGAGCGATTAAGACGCACTCGTCTCCAAAGCTGCTGGGCTCGCATTTCCATGCGCATGGTGTCGGTCTTTACTCACAGTGTGCGGCTGCTCCAGGTGTAAAGTCTTCAGCAGCAGGTTACGAGACACGCCGTTGGCTCTCTTGTATCTCTGGCCGATCATTTTGTTCAAGTCGTGGAAACTGTCCAACAGCCTAAAGGTTCAAAGACACAGACACGCGATTTCATGCACAAGAAGAACATTTGTTTTAAATGATTGCTTTTCAAAGATTCAAGATCAGATACAGACTGAGTGCAAAACTTGTCTGCACCAGGTTTAAGGATTATTTCACATACAGACATCTTTTAAATCTGAAGAACATAAAGTGGGCCTGTTAAGATTCTCCTTTTTTTTCTTTCCCCATATAATTCTGTATAGAAGTCAAAAGCTCAGACTGCTCCAAACGCTTGGTTTCCTACTCTGCTTCAAGTGGTATAGTGGTTAACACATTCATCTTACACACAAAAGATCCCCAGTTCAAGACAGGGAGGAGACGCATTCCCAGCCTGAGGGGTCACAAGCCTGGATAAAGAGGAGGGTATGTGGTGTAAAACTTCTACAAAATCCAATATGGATGCAATCTGCTGTGGCGAACCTTTGGGATAGAAGTACGTTTCTTTCTCTGTCCTATGTGACAGTGTGGTCAGCATGGTCATCTTTGTGACCACAGAAGCCCCGCCCACATAAAAGAAAGCCAGATCAAAGGTGTCCTTTAGTGCCACTCACATGTATTACACAGTGAATGTACTGAGGCAGTATACCAAGGCCAAATATAAGGGAAAAAAAACTATTAATAGCAACGTTATTTTACTAGAATCAAAGAAAAACGTAGAGTGCTGAAAATGACAGATAAAGGCCTCGTTTAAGAGTTTGTTTTCAAGTGTGTTCTTCTAGGAAATAGTTCATTTGATATAAAACTCTCCAGTTCAAGAAAACATCTCTATAATTAGAGTATGATATGGGAATCTATGTGTTAAGGTATCTGTGATAGTGAATATAACATACAACATATAACATACAACAGTCCATATTAGCTCAACTGCAAGTTGTATCAAACGCATTTTCTCCCATAAAGACGACATCTGACAAGCCCACCCATCTGGTGTGGTTTTACGACCA